TTTATGTATTTACTGAAAATGTTGTGATTTTGAAGTGAATTTTGATTCCAACTTCCAAGAATGTATTGGAATAAATGTTACCAAAAAATGTGCATGTTTTTATGATGGCTAACTCTATATCTACATATTAAAACATATTGATTCATTTTAGACAGCTTTTTATGTATTATAGAATGTATGAAATTACATGCATCTTATCTGTGAATGATTATTACATTCATATAATACAGCTGAGGATGGCTGCAATGTTGTTTTTCAGGAGGAAAAGATGAGGTCGAGTTGACGTTGTTCATCGACGCTTCTTACGTTGTGGTCCCCCTTTTGACTCTCATTAATATGATTCATAATCGCGCTACTCAGGCTCACATTTTTAGCAAGGTAAATAATTGAGACTTTTTTGGTTTTGTTTTGTTTTCTTTGTTTTTAAATTTAATTTCAGATTCTACGTAAATCACTGTCATGTCATTTTTCATGTGAAGAAAGCCCTTGATCTTATGTGGTAACTATCTCGTAGGAAGTGTTGTTTCTCCGTGTTTCGTTCGCTGTCTTTTTTGCCTTTATATTATTTATTTGGATGAAATATAATTGTCCGCCTCCTAAATTATCTACATTGTGTGGATAGAAGCATTAAGCGACACCTGTATTAAGAATATATAATTGTAGAAAGATTAGTTTTAAGTTAAGACAAAGAATACAGTAATATAACACAATATCTCAAAATAAGTTTTAAAAACCCACAGTTTTCACGAACAAAACTGTTGCAAGAAAATGTACTTTTGAAGTACAGTTTTAATTTTTTTAAAAATAGTTTAATGTTTAATCTCCCATAGAACAAGTTATCTAACTACATTTACATGGTCTGCGTACCCGAAGTAGCAAATTACTCAAGATGTAAGGAGAGTCAGAGCAGCAAGTAAGCTACAACAGTAGGATATGCGTGGCAACGTAACTGATCAACTTATAATAATAAATAACATTATAGCGCATATATCCGCGCTTGGCAGCAAGCTCTATGTGCTTTACACTATATTATTACTCCAGCAGACCATAGAACACTCAGAAACTGAAACATTCCCAGCTTCCCGGGAAGCATACAATGCAAGCAGCTGATTAAGCGCCCAAACATTAATAAACTGACAAGATCTTTCACTGTCTGTAGCTGGGTACCCATTACTGCCTGGGTGAAGTGAGGAAAATTCGAGTAAAGTGCCTTTCCCAAGGGCACAGCGTCGGGGCCCTGGTAGGATTCGAACCCACGACCTTACGGTTGCGAGTCTGAGAGCTTAATCACTAAGCCACCAACTTGAAACTAAAGGGCATCATTCACTGCAAGAGTGCAATAGACATAGATAAAATGTTGAAATTTGTTATATTTAGGCCTACAGGCTTGCCGCTGATGTCTGAATTCTTGCTATTGTCATCTAAATTTAACGAGCAGTCATGATGCTGAATAAAGCCCTGGGCTTGCTTTGCAATAATCAACAAAATACCAAGGGTATTGGATTGGACTTAATGACGTATTCAAGTCATCCATTTTTCAACAACAACAACAAAAATATTCTGTTTTTTACGTTTATTTGTTTAGTCTATACAATTTATTTGGGAGGAGGGGTCGATTTAAATTTGCAAAAAAACTTACTTTCAGACAGTAAAAGAACTCTGTTTTATACTTTGATTGTTCATTTTTTAAAAAGCAGAGTGGCAACAGCTGTGTGGCTGTATAGAACAGTAATCATGTCGTTTGAGACATAGAATGAAGCTTCGTGTTTTAGAAAGATTTCGAGGGCTCTCGTGGTCTAGAGGTATGGTTATCGCCTATCATTAAATTGGTCTCAGGTTCGAAACCTGACAGAGGCGGGAAATCGCTCGCTCCCCCCCCCCCCCCCCCCCGAAAAAAAATCTTCTTTCACCAACTTTCCTGCTCTCTAACCATGTTCCGTCAACTGCTTTCGTCGTCCTTACTTCTTACTTTCTGCCCCCCCCCCCCCCCCTCTCTCTCTCTCTCTCTCTCTGGGCTCCTGACTCTTTGTGCTGCCTTTCTACTGATATTCCCTGGCTTGATCTTACTGTTGTCTTTCAGCCGCACCCTTGATCTTAGGGTAAATAAGCTATTACACCTAGATCTAGCCTTCTCGAATAAGGACGAAAAAATCTCGGCTGTCTCGTGTGCAAATTCCATAAGGGTAGGCTTCGGTCGCCACCCGGGCAAAATTCAAAATTAATTCCTATTAAACAGAAAATCTTTAGTGTGTGCTGCGCTCTCATATGACCTCATGCAATTGCGAGTGTCGTAAAACACTTACAAAAAAAGAAAGAAAAGAAATATTTGAACTTTCAGATGAGTCAGTCGCAAAGGATCTGCTTAAAAATTTTTTCAATAAATTTTCATGTTTTTCAAACGTTAATGCTATCACACTGGATCTTTTCTTTTCTTCTAATTTTAATGTGAGAAGATTATATCAGGAACAACACTTACAAGTTACACGCGAAAGTTGATCTGTTCTTAGAACCCACTACTGGTAGTTAAGTTAGTGACACCCTCCCTGACGGTACGACGTACAGATTACTTGGATACATTTAATTTTTCTGTTTTTATTTTACATTTTTATCATGAATAGATCTAATCCTATCCGCTCTGTGTGTGTGTGTGGGGGGGGGGGGGGGGGGAGGGGGGGTTGTATTGTTTGTTTTTGTTTGTTGTTTTGATTTTTTGTTCGTTTGATTTGATCTTGTAATTAAAAGGGGAAATTCTAAACTCCCAATGAAAATACGTTAAGTAGGGACGAACAAGGTGACGCGCAAGTTTACACTTTTGTGCCCTCTCAGTTTATTGAAAGCTGATCAAAATTACGAGTAATAGTGGAATGTTAAAGTAGTGATACTTTTTTTTCATTCAATTTGAGTAAAGTTCTAATTGTTTTGCCTTCATGACCAAGCCTGGTCAAAGATCTAACACGGGGTGCCCATTGGCACGACCAGTTCGGTTCGGTTTGGTAGGCGGGACTAGCCAGACTGAGGGCGCAAAGCGACCATCGTGGCACAAACCGATCGCCCGACTCGCAGTCTCAAAAACAAACGCTCTTGTTTTTTGGCCGCGAATCGGGCAATTCGGTTGGCGATTCCCCCAATGGGCACTGGGTATAACAAGCTCTTGACTTCGAACAATTTCCTGTCAAAAAGTATGTTTCCTTTAATAATAGTAATAGGTAATTTCATTCGAACTCTCTTTTGTACTGTTTGTCGTGGACGAACGGGAAGATGGTTCCAGTCCATTTGAAGGTCTAGCGTGATATTTCTGTTCTACGCACTACCACCGGACCAGTCTGACAACAGTCTACTATAACCTATAATTGTAATTGCTAAATACTATTTTCTCTTGACACATAATATATTATACAGGATTGGGACTGTCATTGGCAGTACTTTAAAATCGAAAAATCCTTACCCTAACTCTTGCCCTAAACCTAGCCCTAGCCCACCAAAATCCTTACTCTAACAGTTTGTCCAATTGACATAGCACTGGTAGACCGTGCCCAACCAGGACTTCCGGTAGATCAGATTGTCGAAGTAGACCGTCAAGTGGGCAAAGACAAAAAAAGGCACCCCGATTGTGCTCACTTCACTTTTCTTAGAATCTTAGAATGTCTCAGAACACCAGGATATTATTACGAGGGTCGTTCAAAAAAATTTGCCTCCAAGTTCATCATTTCTTTATTACTGATGCTACATACAAAAGTTATACACCAAATGAACACTTAGGATGTCTGCTACATGACAGTGCCTTTACTTTTCAACATAGTCGCCTTCTTTGTCGATGTAGATCCGCCAACGTCGAATAAGTTGTCGCATGCCGTCGGCGAAAAATTCATGTGGTTTTCCTCTGAACCAGTGACGCACATCTTCTTGAACTTCATCGTCGTGTGCATAACGTTTTCCTTTGACTTTGAGGTACTCCTTCAACTTAGGAAAAAGATAAAAGTCAGATGGAGCAAGGTCTGGGCTGCATGGTGGGTGCGGTAAGGTCTCTTGAAATCGAAGACTTTTCGTGGCATCTTGATTTTGTCGACTCGTGTGTGGACGGGCGTTGTCGTGGAGCAAAATTGCATTTTTTTTTCTTGGCCGAACTCGTGACCGCCGTGCTTTAAGTTTTCTCAGGGTCTCAATATATCGTTAAGAGTTGATAGTGGAACCCTGTTCCTAAAATTCCCTATGAATCAGACCATCACAGTCCCAAAACACTGTCATAAGCGCTTTCTTTGCTGATGAAACAACTTTGAACTTTTTGGGGCTAGGTGAGAGTGGTTTCAGCGAACTCCTTTGCCCGTCTTCGAACAGTACTTACATGTACATATGCTTCACCATAGATAAGCTTCATTCGCCTACGAATATGAATGGGTGCAGCTCCCTCTGCGGTAAGGAACTCAATAATAGCTCTTTGCTTTAAGCACACATTCATAAGTTTGCTGGACGCCATTTTCTCGCGACAATGCACCCTAGCTTCTATGACTATGAAGTAAACAGCAATAGCATAAAGGTGTGACATCATAGCATAACTTTGGGGTTTTTTGTGTTTGAGAGTATACATTTGAAAGTCAATTGTGTACAAATTTCTTGAAGATAATATCTTGAATAGTTTAGAAGTAGAAGTTATTGGAGAGGAGGCAAAAATTTTTGAACAACCCTAGTATATATATTCATTTCAAAAATAATTTTTGCTCTGAGCTCTTCCTGGAAGAGGTGTACAAGCAGACAAAGAGACACCGGTCTTATAGTTTTTACCAAATATCATAGTATTATATTATTTGAGTTTTTCATGTTGAAGGGTTAAAAATACTTTTCGTTTCTTTTTTTTTTTGTTTTTTTGTCTTGCTATTGTTAGCTCAATTTTGTTGACGTGTGCAGTGAACAATTTTGAAATAATATTTGAAAATAATGTTAGAACTCCGTAATATTTTTATATTTTAAAACATTTATTTATTAAAATACATTTTTTTTTTCAGTTTCCTCCACTGTGGAAGAGACCTGTTGATTTGATTTTCTTCCTTTATTTCTTCGTTGCTATGCAAATTGCAATGATGCGAGCTCTTGTGAGTAGAATTCCTTCTAGTTGATTCTACTTTGCGTATAGTGTGTCTTCTTGTGTGAAGTTAAGTCAGAAAACTTCCTTTGAAAAGTATTACTATAGTAAAATAACCAGTAGAATTGTGCTTAGCCGTGGCTTACTAGCAGTTAGCAGCGTAGTTTTCTAATTCTTAACAATTACAATAACAAGAAGAAATATTTCATTTTAAGCCTAAGAATTTGTCTTCTTGCTAACCCACTGAGGAGGGGTGTTAAACAAGAATGTCTAATATTATTGGTCTTTTTAAAAAATAGAAAATATAGACCTATTATTGTTATAAACATGAAAGATACTGATTTCTACTTATTATTGTGCGTGATATAGTGCACAGAGATATATTATGGTTTAATGTCTGTTGCTAGCTCTGTGTATATAATTTCTTGTTTCTTTTTGCTCGTCAGGCTATTCATGGTGCTAATGTGTCTTTCATCAAGCAGTACGTGAAGTTAGTTGAACCATACCTCGGTGATCCCAGTGGAGCTCCTAAATTCCAGGTTATTGTTTTATTGGGTTTTTTTGTTTCACCTCTTTTGTTTTGGTGTAGATTTCTGTTTTGTTTTGTTGTGTTGTGGTTGTCTTTTTTTTTCTTCTATTGTCACACTTATATATTATAAATCTAAAGTGTATGTTACATGATGATTCTTTTATAACTCTACAGTTGAGTCCACTTACACTGAAATCCGCGGGACCACCAGATTTTTTTTGGAGAAGCCGGGTTTCCAGTTTTAAAAGCTGCTCAAATAGAAAGGGGGAGAAAGAAGGAAAAAAAAGAGAACAAAGAATGTTTGTACTTTCTATATTATTTCAATATCAGAATAGTTAAAGTATTATACTGGGGCTCTCGTGGCCTAGAGGTTAAAGTGTTGGCCTCTCATTCAAAGGTCCCGGGTTCGAATCTGGGTAGCGACCGAAAAATTTTATTCTCTAAAATTGTCTCCTTTCACCTCCTTTCCTGCTCTCTAGCAATGTTCTGTTGTGTACTTCCATTTCCACTTTCTGCCTCCATCCCCTCACCTCCTTTGCCCCCTCCTCTGGGCTCGTGACTCTTTCTGCAGCCTTTCTATTGCTCCTCCTTACTGCTGTCTTTCTGCCACACCCCTGATCTTCTGGTAGGAAAGATCTACACCTAGCCTTCTCGGACAAGGGCGAAAAATCTCGGAGAGCCCGTGTGCAAGTTGCGCACGTTTAAGATCCCTTGGTGGTCTAAAATCGATAAGAGTAGGCTTCGGCCGCCACCGGGGCAAAATTCAAAATTTCCTACCAACTGAAAACATTAGGTGTGTCCCGCGCGCTCATATGACCTTATGCAGTTGCGAGCGCCGTAAAAACACTTACCAAAACAAAACAAAATATTATACTAATGTCAACATTAATAAACATTTTGAGTAGCAGAGCAGCTTCCGTGGTGGGGTTGTTGGTTTTTTTTGCTGCATGGCAATGAAATGTACAGATTTTATCATAGATTGTTTTAAAAACACAATTTTGAGTTCAAGTACAAGATAGGTAATCAAAGTACTTTTGTGGATTATCAGTTTATTTAAATTTTTTAATTTTTTTAATTTTTACTTTCTTTCTTTCTTTTTCATTTTCTTTTCTTTTCTTCTTTTTTTTGGGTGCGAGGCTGGTGACTATTTTTGTTTTGCTTCTTTCTTTCAACGCTACTGTAATTGTAATATTATTGTCCTAATCTTCCTAGTGAAATGTAACATTAAGTATTTGTTGCTATCTTTTCCCCAGTTCTAAATATCATAATACATGTATTGTCTGTTCCCAGATGCTGACGTACGATTACCTCTATGTGTGCTACTACATTTTCGCTATGTACGGTGTCTGGAGTCCTGGACAGCACTGGATGGGAGATTTCTCCCTTGTACATGCTGGAGCTGCGGGACAGGTGAGAATAGATAGGGTCACTGCCATGCTTTGTGTTGTTTACTCTTCCTTTTACTGTATCCTGTAGCAACTATTTTTCTTAGATCAAGAGTGAGCCCATTCGTTATTTTTAATTTAATTCAATTATTGTTATTATAATTTTTTAATTTTTAAATTAATTTTTTTTTTTTTTTGGGGGGGGGGGTAGTTTTGTTTTTAAATATTCTGAAAAGGCTCATGGTTTAATATAACACGTACATAGGTAATATGATGTTGGTTAGAATCGACAGATGTCATACTGTAGTTTAATTATAATAGTTAGTGGTCTGACTCTGTGGGACCAGTGCCATGATTTTATTAAAGAGCTTGTTTCTCCTCCCTTCAGGCCCAATTCACCTACCTGGCCGGAGCTCTCAACTCTCGTACTTCCAAGAGCCTGCGACCTCCTAGTGGTGGAAAGGGAGCTATTATATTCTGGGCGGTCAACGGAATCTTGTTCGTCATGCCCCATCTGTTTGCCTTCTTCACGCAGCGCGATACTGAGAAGTTTGGAAGGACACAGACCATTGACTTTGCCAGCCCAGTGAGAAAGTACGAGCACAAATTCAAAGAGACTCGTAGTGGGAGGAAGCTAAAATAGGTCTCATATTGCTTGTGGCTCTGTTGATGACTGGTTGGTTGCAAAGATGCACACTCAAAATGTAATTCTCTTCTTATACTACAACATGTATATACATTTTGTTTTGCTGTTGTTGGTGGGTTTGTTTTGTTTGTTTGTTTTATTAAGGGGTGGGGGTCATTTTCGTTGCAACAGTCCTGTTGCTGCCAATACTTATTGGTTCTTCCTTTATAACATTGTTTGATTTTTTTTTCTGTAGAAGTTTTGTTACCTTCAGGTAAATAAATATTTTGATTTTATCAGGGTTTTCTTTCATTAAAAAGGGACCTTCGCCATACTATATACTTACCATTGGTTGACGCCAAGATTTCGTCATATAAAGCCAACTTGTTCTAGCTCTTACTAGAATTATTTTGTTTTGTTGTTGTTGTTGCTGCTGCTGCTGCTGCTGCTGCTGCTGCTGCT